CCCACCCCCCATAAGCCCTGCCCCACCCCACAGCACCCCTGGGACCCCATCTTATCCCCCAGCACCCATAGGACTCTCAGAACCATCAGTACCTCTAGGACCCCATCCCAGCACCCTTAGGATCCTCCCATCCCACCCTTAGGACCTCCCAACACCCTCAGGGCTGCCATCCCACCTGTAGGACCCCTTGCCCTTAGTACCCCTAGGATGCTTCAGATCCATAGGACCCACAGTACCCCTAGGACCTCCGTGGCACCCCATGCTGCATATTCCCCAGCACCCTCACAACCCACATCCCACCCCAGCACCCCTGGGACTTCCAGCCCCCTTCCCCCCCAAGCATCCCAGTGTCCTCAGCTCCCCCAGCACCCATCACCCTGCTCCCAGGTGAGGAGTGGCTGATGAAACAGGTGGGCGCCTACCTGCCCGGTGTCTACGAGGAGGTGGTTGACGTTGTGGATGCCTACATCCTCACTGACAAGGTACTGGGCATCCTAACCCTCACCTGCTTGGTGCCCACGGGTGATGAAGCCCCTCTGGGCTGGGTTTGGGGGTCCTGTGTCCCTGTTCTCCTGTATCCATGGGTGACAGGAACCCTCCAGGATGCGTGATCACCCCTTGATCTACCACGACTCTGACCCCTTGCGCCCACGGGTGATGAGGACCCTCCAGGGGGCCTGGGGATTCCTCCAAGCCACTGTATTCCCATGGCCCCTGCACTCATGGGTGATGAGGACTCTCCAGGAGGTCCCATCCCCTTCACTCGTGGTGTTCCTGTTCCCCCTGCCTCAATGGGTGATGAAAACCCTCCTGTCCCCCTGAAGCCCACCATGACCCCTTTCCTGTTGCACCCATGGGTGATGAAGACCCCCTGGGATAGGTTTGGGGGTCCTGTTCCCTGTGCCCCCTGCACCCATGGGTGATAAGGACACCCAGGATGGGTTTGGAGGTCCCACATACCAGTTCTCCTGCACTCATGGGTGACAAGGACCCTTCGGGATTGACTTGGGAGTCCCTTTTCCCCATTACCCTGCACTCATGGGTTGCAAGGACCTTCCAGGGTGGATGTGGGGTACCATCACCCCACAACCCATCATATCCCTGTCCCACCTGCACCCACAGGTGATGAGGACCTTTCAGAGAATCCTGTCTTCCCCACTCCCCACCTACCATGTCCCCATCCTCGCTGTACCCATGGGTGACAAGGACCCTCCAGGGGGTTGTGCCCCCTTCACCCACTCCATCCCTGTCCCTCTGCACACACAGGCAATGAGGGCCATCAGGGGTAGGTTTGGAGGTCCCATCACCCTGTTTCCCTGCACCTGTGGGTGACAAAGCCTGTTGGGGCGAGCTTTGTGTGTCCCATCACCCACCATGACCCTGTGTGTTCCCTCTCTGCAGAAAGCCCTGCACCTGCGGGCAACACGGACCTTTGAGGACGAGCAGGGCCGGGTGTGGCGCACAGGCGAGGAGTGGCTGGTAACCCAGGCACAGAGCGAGGCCTACATCCCGGAGGTGTTCGAGGAGGTGGTAACCGAGGTGGTGGTGACAACGCTGGGCCCCCGGCAGTACTGCGTGGTGCTTGACCCTGTGGGGCCCAACGGGCAGCCCCAGCTGGGCCAGCAGCTTGTTGTCAAGGTCAGCACCCAAGGGACCTAATGTAGCCTTAGCTTGCCCATAGGTATCAAAGGTAGTCCCGAGGGACCCTAAGACACGTGATGTACCGCTATTGTGTCACCGGGGGACCCTAAGGTGCCCCGAGAGACCCAAGTGTGGCTCCCAGGACCCGAGGGTGGCCCCAAGGGACACCCAAGTGGTTCTGAGGGAACCTCATGTATGCATAGGTGTCCCCAAAAGTCTCAAAGGTGGCCCCAAGGGACCCCAATGTACCCCTGAGGTGTTCCTGAAAGTCCCTAAGGCACCCTGAGGGATTCCAACACACCCTTGAGGTGTCCCCAGGGGTCCCTAAGGTGACCTGAGGGCCCCAGGGACCACAGGTGGCCCTGATGTACCCAAACATATCCCCAAAGGTCGCAAAGGTGGTCTCAAGGGACCCCAAGACACCTACATTAGCCCTGATGTCTTGCTGAGGGACCCTAAGCTTCCATAGGATCCCACAGGTGGCCACCAGGATCCAGAAGTTGGCCCTGACATACCTATAGACACCCCTGAAGGTCCTGAAGGTGGCCCACAGGGACCTTAAGACATCCCTGAGGGACCCTAATGCACCCCTGTCCCTGCCCTGTGTCCCACCATATCCTCATGTCCTTCCCCCCATCTCACCGTGTGTCCATGCCCCTACTTCATGTCCCACTATGTCCTCATGCCCCTGCCCCATGTCCCCACCACTTTGCCACATCCCTGTCCTGATGGTGACATGTCCCCAGGGGGAGAAGTCCTTCTTTTTGAAGCCGGGTGAGCGGCTCCAGGCTGGCATCCAGGATGTCTATGTGCTCTCTGAGGATGAGGGGCTGCTGCTCCAGGCACTCCAGACCATCAAGGACACCAATGAGGTGGCCCAGGGGACACCTGGGGTTTCAGGATCCCCCAGGGGCACCTGGGGAGAAACTGAGGAGGGTCCAGGGAGGCTGGGATGCCTGGGGCAACCAGGAGTGGTTGGGGGACAAAGGGGACAACTGGGGGGGATACAGGAGTGGTTGGGGGTCATGGGGGACAGCTGGGGCACCTGGGGACAGTTGGGGTACATGAGGGACTCCTGGGGGATTATGGAAGCCCCAGGGACAACTGGGGGGAGTCCTGTCCTCATCCCTGTGTCCCCAGGCCAGGTGGGTAGCAGAGGGCCATGGGAAGAGTCCTTTCCACACTGTCCCCGAGCTGAGGTCTATGGGGAGGGTGTCCCTGTCTCCATGTCTTCAGGCCAGCGGGTGGCAGAGGGCCATGGGGTCACACAGGGTCTGTGTCCCCATGTCTCCATCCAGGGGGGTGGTGGGGGTCCCTGCATCCCCAGGCTGATGGCACTGATGCCATCCCCGCATTCCCAGGAGGGGACAGAGGTGACGCGGCGGGCAGGTGACCGCTGGCTGGCCCGGGGCCCCCTCGAGTACGTTCCACCAGCTGAGGTGGCCGTGCTGGAGCGACGCCAGGCCGTGGCCCTTGCTGACAATGAGGGCATCTACGTGCGTGACATCCGCACTGGCAAGGTGCCCACCCTGGTGCCACGACTCCTATAGCTCCCCTGGAGCTCCTTGTAGCCCCCTATAGCTCCCTGTTGGCCCTTATAGCTTCCTATAGCTCCTTTATAGCCTCCTCGGTGGCTCCCCATAGCTCCGTAACTGCTCCCTGTAGCTCCCCCACAGCTCCCTAGAGCTCCCCACAGAGCTCCTCTACAGTCCTCTGTAGCTCTGTATAGACCACCTATAGCTCCTCATAGCCCCCTGTAATCCTCCATAGCCCCCCTAAACCCCTATAGCTCACCCACAGACCTCTATAGCATCCCACAGCCCCCCATAGACCCCTGTAGCTCCCCCATAACCCCTATAGCTCCCCAACCCCACTATAGCCCCTTATAGCTTCCCATAACCCACACAGCCCCCCATGGTTCCCCACAATGCTTATAACTCCCTATAACCCCTATAGCCCACCATAATCGTACAAGCCCCTATAACTTCCCGTACGCCTTCCCAGTGCCCCCAGTTCCCATGCCAGTACTCCACATTACCCTAGTGCCCCCCATACCCCCTCCCAGTATTCCCCATCCCAGTATCCCCCCACTGCCTCCCAGTGTTCCCAGTATTCCATGTATCTCATCCCAGTTCCTCCAAACACAGTCCCAGTATCCCAGCCCCCCTCTCAGTGCCCCCAGATACCCCCCCCACCCCTCATCCCAGTGGTCCCAGTACCCCATATACCTGCTTCCAGTGCCTCCAAACCCTCCCAGTGCCCCCAGTACCCCTCCACTGCATCCCGGTGCTCCCGGTATCCCTTATACCTCTCTCAGTGCCTCCACACACCCCTTCCCAGTGCTCCCAAACCGCATTCAAGTGCTCTTATTGCCCCCCAAGCCCCCTCCCACTGCTCCCAGACACCCCTTTCCAGTGCTCCCAAACCCCCCAGTGGCCATCCCTGCCTGGCAGCACCCTGAGGTAGCTCTGGGTGCAGGTGCGGGTGGTGACGGGCCAGACCTACATGCTGACAGAGGCCGAGGAGCTGTGGGAGAAGGAGCTGCCCCCTGGGGTAGAGGCATTGCTGGCCGAAGCCCATGGAGACACCCGTGGCATGGACACCAGGGTCCACTCTTTCTCCAGCCCGGATGTTGGGGTCCCCCAACGTGACCGCACCCGCGCCGTCACCTACCAGGTGCCCCACAATGCCGCTGTGCAGGTCTACGACTACCGGGAGCGGCGGGGGGGGGGGCGACCGCCGGGTTTTGGGGGCGGGGGCATGTATCTCATCCCAGTTCCTCCAAACACAGTCCCAGTATCCCAGCCCCCCTCTCAGTGCCCCCAGATACCCCCCCCACCCCTCATCCCAGTGGTCCCAGTACCCCATATACCTGCTTCCAGTGCCTCCAAACCCTCCCAGTGCCCCCAGTACCCCTCCACTGCATCCCGGTGCTCCCGGTATCCCTTATACCTCTCTCAGTGCCTCCACACACCCCTTCCCAGTGCTCCCAAACCGCATTCAAGTGCTCTTATTGCCCCCCAAGCCCCCTCCCACTGCTCCCAGACACCCCTTTCCAGTGCTCCCAAACCCCCCAGTGGCCATCCCTGCCTGGCAGCACCCTGAGGTAGCTCTGGGTGCAGGTGCGGGTGGTGACGGGCCAGACCTACATGCTGACAGAGGCCGAGGAGCTGTGGGAGAAGGAGCTGCCCCCTGGGGTAGAGGCATTGCTGGCCGAAGCCCATGGAGACACCCGTGGCATGGACACCAGGGTCCACTCTTTCTCCAGCCCGGATGTTGGGGTCCCCCAACGTGACCGCACCCGCGCCGTCACCTACCAGGTGCCCCACAATGCCGCTGTGCAGGTCTACGACTACCGGGAGCGGCGGGCGCGGTGAGCACCTGTGGTTTCTGGGCATGGCAGAGAAGGGACGTGGGAGGGAATGGAGGACATGGTGGATGTGGGGGGGGTGTAGGGGGAAGATATCGGGATGGAGGGGGCACAGAAGGGGTGCTGGGCAGCAGGGTGCAGGTGATGTTGCTGTGACCCCTGTGCCGTGGTGTGTTCCTTGGTGTGTCCTTGGCGTGTGACCAGCGTCCTTGGCATGTCTGTGGTGGGCTGATGCTGGGCCCAGTGCTGGTGATGTTGGGCCCCGGGGAGCAGGTGACAGTGTGGGGACTGGTGTGTCCTTGGCATGTGACCCATGTCCTTCATGTGTTTTTGGCATGTTGTAGAGTGGTGCTGGGTATAGAGTTGGTCGTGTAGGGCCCTGGGGAGCAAGTGACAGTGCAGGGACTCTTGTGTCACAGAATATCCTTGGCTTCAGTCTGTATGAGTCATACTCAGGGATCCTGGGCTCCAGAGACCAGAGTGAAAGTCTGGAGCAAGGAAGACGCACCCTTAATAGAAGAGGTTCAGGTTAAAGAATACTTAAGCAAATGTATAGGTCCATGAGCCCTAATGGGATGCAACTACAAGTGCTGAAGGAGCTGTCTGATGTCATTGAGAGGCCACTCTCGATAATCTTTGATTAATTATGGCGACTGGGAGAAGTGTCCAAAGACTGGAAAGGTCACCCTCATCTTATAGAAGGGCAAGAAGGAGGACCCAGGGAACTACAGGCTGCTCAGCCTCACCTCGATACCTGGGAAGGTGATGGAGTAGCTCATCCTGGAAACCATTTCCAGGCACATGAATGACAAGGAGTAGTGAGCATGAATTCACCCAGGGGAGGTCATGCTTGACCAACCTGATAAACGTCTCTGATGAAATGACTGGCCTGGTAGATGAGGGGAGAGCAGTGGCTAATGTCTACCTGGACTTCAGGAAGGCTTTTGACAGTGTCTCCCATAAGATCCTCCTAGAGAAGCTGATTAAGTCCGGGCTGGATGACCAGTGAGGTGAACTGAAAACTGGCTGAATGGCCAGGCCCAGAGCGTGGTGATCAGTGGCACAAGGTCTAGTTGGAGGGCAGTAATAAGTAGTGTACCCCAGGGATCAATATTGGGTCCAGTGCTGTTTAACATCTTCATTAATGATCTGTATGGTGGGGCAGAGTGTACCCTCAGCAAATTTGCAGAGGACACCAAACTGGGAGGAGTGGCTGATACGCCAGAGGGTCGGGCTGCCATCCCGAGGGACCTCAACAGGCTGGAGAAATGGGCTGACAGGAACCTCATGAAGATCAACAAGGGGAAGTGCAAAGTCCTGCCCCTGGGGGGGGACAACCCCATGCACCAATATATGCTGGGGGCTGAACAGCTGGAAAGCAGCTCAGCAGAAAAGGACCTGGGGGTCCTGATGGACACCAAGTTGACTATGAGCCAGCAATGTGCCCTTGTGGCAAAGGTGGTAAATGGTGTCCTGGGCTGCATTAGGAGTGTTGCCAGTAGGTGGGAAGCGGTGATCCTTCCCCTCTCCTCAGCACTGGTGAGGCCCCACCTGGAGTGCTGTGTCCAGTGCTGGGCTCCCCAGTACAAGAGAGACATGGACATACTGGAGAGCCCAACGAAGAGCCATGAAGATGATGAAGGGATTGGAGCACCTCTCCTGTGAGGAAGGGCTGAGAGAGCTGGGACTGTTCAGCCTGGAGAAGAGAAGGCTCAGGGGGATCTCATCAATGTGTACAAATACCTAAAGGGAGGGTGCAGACAGGATGGAGCCAGGCTCTTTCCAGTGGTGCCCAGTGACAGGACCAGAGGCAATGGGCACAAACTGAGAGACAGGAGGTTCCCTCTGAACATCAGGAAACACTTTTTCACTGTAAGTGTGACCAAGCACTGGCACAGGTTGCCCAGGGAGGTGGTGGAGTCTCCATCCTTGGAGATATTTGAAACCTGACTAGACACGGTCATGGGCAACCAGCTCAAGGTGGCCCTGCTTGAAGAGGGCGGGTTGGACAAGGTGATCTTCAGGGGTCCCTCCCCACCTCAGCCATGCTGTGATCCTGTCATCCTATGATGACTCTTTGGTGTGTCCTCGTCTTGTGACCTTTGTCCTTGGCACAGTGACTGGTGTCCTTAGTACGTCACAAGGCTGTGTTGGGCACCCACATGTCATTGCGTGTCCTTGGTCTGGCAGGGTGGCTCTGGACCCTGCGGAGCAGGTGATGGTGCTGGGCCCAGCGTGTGGTGGATTGTCCTTGGTGTGTTCTGGGCCCCTCCTGTGTCGAGCGGTGCCGCTGGCATGTCACCCGTGCCCTTGACGCGCTCTTGCCCTGTTGCAGGGTGGTGCTGGGCCCCGAGCTGGTGGTGCTAGGCCCCGGGGAGCAGCTGACAGTCCTGTCCCTCTCAGCGGGGCGCCCCAAGCGTCCGCATGCCCGCCGCAGCCTCTGCCTCCGCCTCGGCCCCGACTTCTGTGCTGACATCGTCACCATCGAGACAGCCGAC